AAAAAATCTAATAATTAATCTATAATAGAATTATAAAATATTCAATTTAAAAATGATATTCTACAAATATGACAATATCCTATGAAAAAGATAAATATATATATTAATAATGAAGAATAAATGAATGAGTAAATAAATACATAGAATTAATTTAGTGAGAATATATTTCGAAAATTATGCTTGATTTAATAATCAATAATATATATAACTATCATCTTTATTGTGATTAAAACAAGTTCCCTTAGAAAAAGTTACCTGGTCAATTATTTTCTTATTATTCTTAAAAACCTTTTTAAAAGCATTCAGATCTTTAATGTGGCAATCTTTTTTGTGACAATCTATGATCAGACTCTTTGATCTTAAAGACCTCTATTGCTATTTTACGTTTATATAGATATCCTAGATTCTGCCACTTAGATAGTTTTAGAATTTCCCAATCCATTGCCTTAGTAGATATCTTATGGATGATTCTCGCAGACTTAATATGAAGATCTTCTAATCTATTGAACATTGCAAGAAACAATTTCCCCAAACCCCAATCCCATATGTAACACATGGTATTATTGTTTTAAAATATATATCCTCTAATAATTGGGATGGCAAATATCTTATATTTCGTAAGGCACAAATTTGCTTGTTATATGATGTACAGACATTATCAATATGATCTCTCCATGTTAATCTGTCATCTATAGTTACACCTAGACATTTTGTTTTGTTCCTATATCCAATTATTGTAGTTCCAAATATGACGGGTAATAGGGGTCCTGTAAATCTGTTCCTTTTTATTATCATTGCATCAGATTTTCCAGAATGGACAGAAAGTTTGTTCGTAGTAGTCCACTGATACACTTCCTCAGAGACAGCATTGAGTTGACTGACTACATCATCGACATTATCTGCAACAACAAAGATAGTTGTGTCGTCCGCATACAGATGAATCTCTCCTTTTGTGACAGCGTCACAAAAGTCATTTACATATATGGAGAAGAGCCGAGGTCCCAAAAGTGACCCTTGTGGAACTCCATAGGTAACAGCACACATATCAGACTGCACACTATCTAGCATTCCTTTCCCATGCATACAATGTACTTGAGGCAGTGTATTCCCAGATAAGGAGCCGACTTGGTATGTAGAAAAACTTTTCAAACTTTCCTATGAACTTTTTCGTTCGATACCTTTATACACGATTGTCTTTTCTACAAGAATTTCACGGATTCCATCCTCCATATTTACTGGAATGGCGATTTCAGAATTAATAATTGTAACAAATGCTGTAAGCGCTGGTTCTTCACGTTCAACGGTGCTGAATGCAAGACCCCTCGTGCTATTGACGGTACCTTGTACATGGCAAAAGGAGTGGGTCGCAACATTCACCGTGTCCGCCATATTGAAGGTCACTGTGACAAGATCCACAAGGGACACGTTCGTGTGGGCTTCAATGTCGGGAACTGTGCCGGGTATGGAAATGCTGACGCCTATACCGGGTGGAATTCAAACAGTCGTCTGTTCGTAGAGGAAGTACCCAGACCTCAGCAGTGAGATCTTCCTTCCTTACCAGTACCTATAGCTAGCTTATCATACAGTATTCAATCAGTCTGGCTGTTAGTTCTATTGATGCCAGACTGAATTAATGGTGAATAAAAGGTCATGTAAAAGGACATTTATTAGACGTGAAACTAAGATAATGACATGTAATGTGATAATTGAAATAAATGACTGATAATGGGAAATAAAGCATAATTTAATCTCGCCTTCATAGTATGTTACTTGGGTTTGGGAGAACCTAAACAACATCCCAATAATTTCTATAGTGTAGTATTGGTCGGTCGGTCGGTCGGTCGGTCGGTCGGTCGGTCGGTTGGTTGGTTGGTTGGTTGGTTAGCTATAGGGGGATGCTAGGTAGTCTCCTCCTCAGCTGTCATATATCAGTTTCGGTCCCAAATCCTCACAAGGAAGAGAGCCCTTGAGGATCGGAGACCGAAACTAATGACATTTAGATGCGGAGGAGACTAAGGGGGAGGCTTCTACCCTACCTTGTGAATTTAAGGGCATAATTTATGGGGAAACTAAGCCTCTAGGTATTGGACTTCCATATTACAGTCGACCTGCAATCCTTGCTTTACATGGTTCAAATTCAAGTTTCAAGTATCAAGCTTATTATAAGTTAATAAGCATGGAATAAAAACTATCAAAAAGTCAGTACAATTCTAATAAAACTAGAAATGCTCCGAAGAGTTAAACCTTTCCTTGGAACTAATTATTTACTTCAATTACACAATTCCTTAGCAAAGCAAAAGATGGAATCTTGTTGTTGTGTTTGGGGTAACTTTTGTACAGAACTCCTCGACCAACTACTCTCAGCTCAAAAACGAGCGGCTTGGATTATCCTCAACGCTAATTATTATACACAGTCATTGACTTTATTTCAGAAACTTATTTTCATTMCTATTTGCAATACTATGCACTAAAGAATACTGACACAGATCTACAAGTGTTTGAACAGTCCTTAGCCCACCATTTCTGACAAATCTCTTGGGTAAACCAAGTCACATCTACTCAACAAGGGCTACCAAGAATAACATCCTTTCTCTACCAAAAGCAAGAATAAACGATGGGATAAGAAGTTTTGTTTTTTGGCTTCTAATGAAACTGGCATAGTTTTAATCAGCAGTAGGTTTTAGATTCCCCTTTTTTAGCTTTAGTATATATATTTTTCCTTCTAATAGTAGTTTTGAGATGATTAACATAATTTTGATGATGTTTTTTAAATTCCCCTTATATTATTTATTAGGTTAAGTTATTTCTTAGTGCAGTTTTCGTATGACTATGAAGCGTTCACGGCACGAACACGGTCGTGACACAGCAAGGGATACGCCAGACAAATCACATWGCACGAGAATTTACTCTCCATCCAATCAAATACCCGGAACACGGCATAAACACGGCGCGGACACGGCCACGCCAAGATCACGGCACTTTTAGACCATTCATATTGCGCGTGAAAAAAATCAGCCAATTAAAATTCTAGAAAGTATCAAGGTCACGGCACGTCACGCTTAGGGCACTGAGCTTTTCACAGTCATACGAAAACTGCACTATATGTTAAATATTTGTTTTTAAGTGTAAAGTTTATCGCAATTCAGCCTGCCCGTAGGCTGCAATGATATGTCTAATAAAGCTATCTATTYATCTTTAAWAAGAAACTAGTAGAGTGCAAGCAATTAATCCGTGAAACACTAATTACTAAATAGTACAAAATAGTGCTAATTAAACAATAGAAAACAAAGGAATTTGCATGAAATTGTGCTATTTAGTATTACCAAAGTTTCATGGATTTACTGTGGTCACTCTACTGTTAAACTCCTTCTCAGCCTGATTTCTCACTAGATACCAATTAATGATATAACAACTATTTGCAGCTTGACTTGGGAAAGTAGCGGTTCTTTTATGCGGTTCTTTTTATGCTGTATTCAATTAATTTTGCGAAGTTGTATTCTAGAAGGATGAAAATGTCTTTCATCAGACAGACAGACAGACAGATTTTTTTATTCGGTATCGAGTATAAGAAAATACATAGACATTTTACCCGAGTAAATGTATGAAGGCAGTTGTGGACATATTTTGCTACTGCAACTGCTAACATTTTGGGCGGACTCATAAATAGCAGAAACAGCTCGTTCTCATTTAACAAAAGAGAATCATTGTTTATGTTTTTTATGTCCTTGAAGAGTTCTTCCCTTAGATTTGAATATAATGTACAGTGAAGAAGGAAGTGCCTCTCATCTTCTACACTATCTGGACAATGGAAGCACCTCCTATCTTCTGTTGTTTTTTTTTTTTTGTATTCCCTTGAATATCTTCCCTTTTCGATTTCAAGGTCGTGATTACTAATTCTCAATTCTCAATTGGGTTAATGCTTTTCTGCGTTCAAAATTCTTAACTTCGAGTAACAAACGAGTAATCTGTTTTTACCAGACGATATGCCCTTAATTTATTTTTTTGTCCTGGTGGGCCTCTCCTAGTTTTTTCATCGTTGAAGAGTTTCCCTCGCCAGACTTGAATTTCTATATCCGTTAACTCTTGTTTTAATTATTTTGAATGGGTTCTGACTTGAACAATGTTTGTAGTTTATTTCAAGCCAGATATTCCCTAAGCCGCTTTGGTCTAATAAAGATTTTACTTTACTAGACCAGTTATTGTTGTTTATTGCTAATGACTCTCTATATACAATTGCAGACGACAGTTTTTGGCGGTACTCAGGTTTTGTTATGTTTAGCCAGAACTTAACTGATCTTAATTTTTCATCTGTAATGATGAATATGCACCCCACCACCCATCTCCTCCAAAAAAAAAAAAAAAAACGAAAAAAATCTATACGACGTCTGATACTCACACAAAATCCTAACTAGGTTCGGCTTCCTGTAGGGTAATATGGGAAAAAAACAAAGCATAAAATTATCGAAAAATTGCAAATATTCCGACATTCTGCTCTCTAGACTTCAAATTGACTGCATTACTAATTGATATATTATACACTTTTTCCGCGTTGTAAATTAAAAAACGTAGTTCCAAATATAGTAACCAATGGGCGCGGTTGTTTAATGAARTGTATGGGGCAAACCATCAACGGTGTTTGTATTTAGTCTTTACTTTAAACAAACAGTGATGGAAAACTTGCTACAACAAGTATGACCACACGTTGACAATTGTAGTTTTACTTACCAGATGAAGCTAAGTATAGGTCATTGTTTGTTAGGACATCATTGAGTAAGGATACACACTTCACTACAAGACATCTTACTCGTAAGTTATGGGGAATTTCATTTCTTTAGTTGACCTGATAATTAATTTTATATCACGATGTAAGCTAAATATGATCGTCTGGTGGAGGAATACGAAGCATATTTAAAACAGTGTTTGAGTAACTTGACGATATTTATTACTCATTATCTAAGAATGTCTTGTTAAAGGGAAAGAAYCATATCAAACAAACGKAACTCACGCATGCGGTTCTGTTGAGCAGCGAGCCCCAATATTTTAACGACACAGTGTAAAATACATGAACGTATCAACGCATGCCATAAACGAGAATGATGATTTTTTTAGTTGTGATAAAATGGTCAATCGTTTTATGTGTTAGGCGCAATACTTTTTGATTTTTGTTCTCAGTTATAAGAGTGTTTAAGTTGTTATAAAAAWTATGTTGTTAAGATGGAGCGTTGAACAAGGCCCAGGAACAATTTGTAAACCTTTTCTTATCTCTTTCACCGGATTTTCATTCACAGTACAAAATGAGGTTCTTCGTGGTCGTGTTACTCGTGTCCTTGGCTGTGTTCGTTTCTCCCGTCATCAAGCCGGCGTGTGGACAGAAAAACAAGCCAGCCGGACAGGTAAGCTAATGGTTTTGTTTGGAGTTATAAAATTGACGAATGGGGTTTCAGATCAAATTTTTCTAATTCATTTATCTATTCATATATTTATAATTCATATATCTTATATTGTGTGAAAACCTAGTTACTTCATCACAATAATCAATTCATTAGTTTTGATTGTGTTCCTTCTAAACTAATRCCCGATAATTATAATGATAAAATAATATAAGATTGGTAATAATCGAAACAAGAAAACAAAAGCTATACAAACAAAGTTGAGAGTTGTGAGTTGTGAGTTGAGCGTTGAGCGTTGCGTGCATAGAAAATTGAAGGTAGTGGTATTGTGTGAGTGAAAAGTGTTCCCAATTAGTGCCAAAGCGCTTGAATGACTAGACATTTAAATAAAGATTTCTTTAGATTTTATTATTATTCAGCATGTTCATCCCATAATACATTCGGCTGGACGGAAATAATAATGACGTGACCACAGACAATTCTGTTAAATTTTTTTTCAAAAGAATATGAAGTACAGTATAAACCCGCATAAAAGAGCACCCATTTTTGGAGTTGAGGCTGATTTTGTTCTTATTTTAACGGGTGTTTACTGAAAAATCAGTCTGAAGGTGTTCTTAAGGTGTTCTTAAAATAAATGTTTCTAAAATATATAACAGTATTACTACATATAGCTAGACTACCAATACATGTAGATGATATCAATGTGTAAGTTCAAAAATGTTACTAAAAATTTTTTGACTGCAATAATAACTGTATCAAAACAGTAGAAAAATAAATATTGTCAGGTCAGGCTTGGAGTCTGCTACTGGTAACACTGTAATCTAAACCCTCCCCCCATCAGTGTATACATGAGTACTGATGAGGAGGCATTTAATAGTGATTTTTGTTTTTTAAGAACACTTTTTAATATTTCAGGCTGATTGTGTTCTTATTTACATGGTACTTAAAACGCCCAAATTCAGGCTGGGTGTTCTTAACCCGCTTGTTCTTTTATGCGAGTTTTTACTGTACTTCATGCCAAGAGAAAATTAACAAAGAGAAGGAATCCCCGTGCCCCGTCATGAGCACTCTTTGATGGTATTTTTAGAGTCTTTCATGCTGTTTTTAATTCAAGCATATTATTAGCTAAGATCTTGGTGTACCTGGTAAAATCAAACTCTTTATGTAATATATATATTTAGGCACTGCCTAAAAGCGGAGCTTCTCGAATGTGAACGAAAATGAAAGGTAAAAATAAGACCGGGAAAAAAATCTTGAATTATTTCTTATTCGAGATGAAGATAATTTCTCCCATTGAAAAACCATGCAGTGACATCGAATCGAAATGCCCTACATCGTTTTTGGTTTTTTTCTTTTCTTTTCTTTTCTTT